TTCTTTCCAGCTTTTGCCTTTCCAGGAAGAGTTCACCAGTGGGGAAGATCTCGGGAAGTTGGACTGTGGCCATGACTATCACTTTGACTGAATCAAACACTGGTTTGTGTAGAAGAATTCGTGCCCCATCTGCAGGCAGACAGCTTTGGCTGTTTGAAGATATAGTTTACTTTCTCCACAGTAGACGATTTTCTAGGCTTGGCTGTTTCAATGTCATGTAAAACATTTTGATAATGTATTCAGACCTTTTCATTAACTTATTTCCTTATCTTCTCTTATTCTGAGACCTTTTAGTTAAATTATTTGTTAAAATTCTTGATTTCTTGCTTGGTTTGCTGCTAGGAACTAGACTTAGGTGCTAAAGCTCATTTACAAGTTAATGATTTCTTTCATTAACTTAATTATTTGGAAATTTAGTATACATAAGGACACAAATTTTTAAAAATTTTCTAATTAAGGATGTGGCATTTCTTTTTACTAGTCAAGGCTATTTGATATAAATAAGGACACAATTATTTTAAAAAAATTTTAATTAAAGATGTGACATTTTTTTTAATTAATCAAGACTATCACTTTTTAAAAACTTCAAATTAATTATATGACTTTTGAGATTTTATCAATTAAGACTATTAGCTTTTAAAAATTTTTAATCAAGGATATGACTTTACAAATACATTTAATTTTTTTAGAAAAATTACAAAAATCATATTCTTAATTAGAAACTTTTAAAAGATAGTAACTTTGATTAATAAAGAAAAAATATCATATTTTTATAATTAAAAGATTATGTCTTTGTTTATACCAAATCTTATTTTAGATTTGTTAACTAATAAGAGATTTGTTAACTTGTTTGATAATAAGCTAGAATTCTACCAAAATGATGCAGGGCAATTATTGCAGAGCAAGGAAGAGATTTCAACATATGTTTTTCGAAGCCTGGGCTCTCAATTCCAAGCTTGCCCTACAACTGCTGATATGGATATTGTGTTTTCTTTCCCTCCAGTGATCACATCAGAAATGAATAACTCTCTATGCGCAGACATCACACTGGAGGAGGTTAGAGCTGCTACTTTCCAATTAGGGGCCTTTAAAGCACCAGGTCCAGATGGGTTTCCTGGAGTTTTCTACCAAAAGCATTGGGACTTGGTTGGTGGTGATGTTCATAGAGCTATCTCAAGATTCTAGGCTACGGGTTTTCTGTTGAAGGAGTTCAATAAAACGCATATCGTTCTCATACCAAAGGTCAAAAATCCTCGAACCCTCTCTCAATATCGCCCTATATCTTTATGCAATTTCATTTCTAAAATTATCTCCAGGATAATGGTGAATAGATTGCAGCCTTTTCTTTCTCAAATAATTTCTTCAGAGCAATCTGCTTTTGTGCCTGGCAGAATGATCCAGGACAATCTTGTTGTTGCGCATGAGGCATTCCATGGTTTTGCTCATAGATGTTATTCTCAAGATGCCTACATGACACTTAAATTAGGCATCCATAAAGCATATGATACGGTGGACTGGCTATTCTTGGAGCAAGTGCTCAGGGCGATGGGTTTCCATGATTGGTGGGTTGCTAGAGTAATGGAGTGCGTTCGATCAACCTTATATTCAATTCTAATCAATGGTAAACCCACTAAAACCTTTTTCCGTGGGAGAGAGCTTTGACAAGGAGATCCCCTGTCCCCATATTTATATCTGCTTGTGGTAGATGTTTTGTCTAAACTTGTATCTCATGCAGTGAGAGATGGCTCCCTATATGCTTATCGTATAACAAGGCAGTGCCCCCCTATTAGCCATTTGCTTTTTGCTGATGATGCATTACTTTTTTGCAAGGCTTCTATCAATCAAGCTTCTTTCTTAAAAGAGCTACTCTCTTGGTATGGTGCAATGTTAGGTCAGCACATTAATTTTTCCAAGTCTGCAATTCTTTTTAGCAGAAATACTTCTCTTTCGTTGAAAACTACTATCTGCTCTTTATTTTCTATTCATCGTGATGCACCTGTGCACAAGTATTTGGGCCTCCCTACTAGTTGGGGAAGATCCAAAAAACAGAGTTTACAATTTGTTATTGAGAAAGTGCAGCAGAAGTTGCAGGCTTGGAAGAAATCGCTATTATTTGCAGCTGGTCATGAGGTTTTGATAAAATCTGTGGCCCAATCAATTCCCACTTATGCTATGTACTGTTTTAAGTTTCCAAAAAATGTATGTCACCAATTAAATAGCTTGATGGGTAACTTTTGGTGGGGGCAAAGAGATGATAAGTCCAGAATCCATTGGGTGAGTTGGGGGAAACTATCTATAAGCAAAAATTATGGAGGGTTAGGATTTAGAGATGTTGAAGCTTTTAATCTATCTCTTTTGGCCAAACAATGTTGGCATCTTATTCACAATCCTAATAGTCTATGGGTGAAGCTTTTGCGTGCTTTGTATTATCCTTATGGCCATTTCTTGCAGGCTAAGCTTGGTTTCACTCCCTCTTGGATTTGGAGAAGTCTTTTACAAGGACGAGATGTTTTAAAATTGGGGCTGCGGTGGAACATTGGTAATGGTCAAAATGTGTTCCTTTGGGGTCACAAATGGATACCTACCAAGCAGGGATGTCAGGTTTCAACCCCCCAACCACAACATGGCTACAACGTCAGGGTATGTAATTTGCTAACTCCCACTTTCAGGTGGGATTTGCAGAAGTTTAATCTTCTTTGATGCTTTGAAGATGTGAAGGCTATAGTACAAGTTTCAGCTGGCCCATCTCCAGACAAATTAATATGGCATTTTACAAGGACTGGGGAGTTCACAGTTCGTTCTGCTTATCACCTTGCAAGGACGAATGGTTTTGGATTGTTTCCATTAACTAATTTCCAGGTCAGTCCTTTTCCCTCCTTTTTGAAATCTATATGGAAGTTGGCTGTTCCCCCCAAGATAAAAATTTTCATGTGGAAAGTTTTAACTAATGCTTTACCTGTTAAGGCAAATCTTTTTCTTAAGGGCATGGTGGAGAGCCTTGTTTGTGGTCTTTGTGGTCTTTGTGGTGGGGATGGTGAGTTTATTACCCATATGCTATTCACTTGTCAATACGCTGCTCAAACTTGGTTTGCCTCTCGACTTGCCTTTCGTCCTACTATTTCATCTATTTCTGAGATGGTTAATTGGTGGAGTTTTGTTTCTTCCTAGTGGGATAAGTGTATTCCAAATATAATGGAAGAAACTGCTTGCTTGTTCTGGTATATTTGGAAAAATAGGAATCTAGGCATTTTTCAAGGCCATACAATGCAACCGCAAATGGTTGTTCAGAAAGCCATGTTTCTAGTAGACAAGTTTTGTAGAGTTAACGGTAAAGACCCTCTTATTCCACCAGTGTTACAACTTAGGGATGGATTAGAGGATGAATTACAACGGTGGAGTCCACCACCCGAAGATGTTGTTAAATGTAATACTGATGCAGCTATGGATGTTAAAAATGGTGTTGCAGGTCTAGCTGTGGTCTGTCGCAACAGTAGGGGCATTCTTGTTGATGGTTTGGCCTTCAAACAATCAGTTAGTTCTGTTTTAATGGCTGAAACTCTCACATTAAGAGCTGCAGTAGGCTGGGCAGCTAGGAATGGCCTCAAAGACATCATTTTGGAATCTAACAGCAAAGAGCTCATGCAAGTTGTTAACAAAAGGTTCATTTGCCTTGGCAAATTGAACCATTGGTGCTTTCCGTATAGGAGCTTTGCAAGTCTTTCTCTTTTTGTGAATTTAACTATGTATGTAGGAAGGCTAACTCTGCAACTAATTGGGTGGCCAAAAAGTGTCTTAAGAATTCGTGCCCTCTCTACTAGACCACCAATCCATCTACAATGCTATGTAATCTTTTGTGTACTAATGTAAATTATTAATTAAATAATACAAATTCTCATAATTGTTAAAAAAAAAAAAGTTAGAATTCTAACTCATTTACAAGCTCACTTGAATTACAAGAATTTTTTTTCATTTTTTTTGTCTAGCCAAAGCTAAACATTGGGTTATAATAAAGAGTACCCTAAACATCAAAGGCTACCATCCTCCTCTTGATTAGACAATTAAGACCATATAGACAAAACTTTTCTTGAACTTCTCTCTCTCTTCTCTAGAACTCTCCAGCATCTATTTCAAAACTTCTCCAGTTTTCATCTCTTTTTTGGGTGCTCGGAAGCCTCGAGCTTCTCGAGCTTTTGATGTGTGAGTAGCTGGAGGGCTTCTCAAGCATGATGGAGCCGGTCAACTGTGCTCTTATGTTCGATGACCACTTTACATGGTCTGTTGGTTCTTTTGTGGCCTTGTTGGTGGCCTTTGTTCTCTTTTCTTTCTGTTTCTTGTTTCTTGTTTTGGTTTGCTCAGATCTGGCGGCCAATCATGAAGAATTCAGGGGATGGCCACCGCTTGCTCTAATATTCCAGCTATGGTATCCTGGAGAACAGGCGTAATTATGCAAGAGTAGATAGAAGGGTGTCCAATTTTCTGGAACGGTGGACCAAAGAAATCTGTCAAAATCTGTCTCCTTTGTCAAAATTTGTTTCCTTAGCGGTTGTTTGTGTGAAATATTTACTATCCCTCTTTTATCTGTCTTATGTTGAACTTGATCTACTTTTCATTTTTTTTCCAATTGGGCTTTAACTGTTTGTAATTTTTTCTTAGCGCTTTGTATTTACTATCAGGTCATTAATTCATGTTGCGCAGTTTGAATTTATTAAAACAAAAACTAACAGGATTTTATGAAGGTACCTTGTGTATGTATATCAGGGAGTAGATTCTTACCTGCGAGATAGAGCTTAATCTTAAGCTTCCCCACCCTGTTGCATGCCTATTGCGCCAAATCCCTCCCACTTGACCTCCACTATTTCCCCACTTCTGGGCTATCCACCTCTAGAATTTCAACTAGGTTCTAGTCGCTACCGCAACCTCGTTGCCTCCACTTTGATAATTGCAAACATTGGAAAACTATCACCCCTCACTTGCTCAACGTCTTAATTTAATTAGAGGCAAATTATTTTCCTCCCATTCCTTCCTCTTCATTTCCTTCGAATCAAAACTACTATTTGTTTATACTATTAATAATGACTAATCCGAAGTTGCTACATCAATAATATTTTACAATTAGTTTGAAATTAATTTTCTTACAACCTAGACTACAGTTACTATAGTAAACTAACGCCACGTGTTCAATTTGGGCTATATGATTGGTTTGTGATGTGCCATATCACCAAGTTACAATTGATCTGGAACCTGATCTGGTGTAGTCTACAACCCAGACCAAAGGTGGAATGGAGATGGGGTCCCATGTGGCAAGATAAATGCATATCTCTTCCTTTGATCAAATTTTAATTGAATTAGGTTACTAAGAGAGATTTTAGGAAGGAATCAAATTAGGGTTAATTAGAGTTAGTCAAGAGGTCAAATACAATTGGCAAACTTGGAATAAAAATAGGAAACTATTGCTACCAAAATGTGAAAATAGACAAACATGCACATGTGGTGAGAAGTGGACCAAAAAACATGGGAAACACCTTTAGTAGCAAGGTAAAACTATCTCCTTCAACAAAAATCAGTTTTTTAGGCCTACCCCTCTCAAAAAATTACCCAACGCGCATCAATTTCAATTTTCAGATTAGTTTAGCTAGCCTTCAACATATTTCCCAATTGCGATTCAAAAGCCTGTTCTTGTTCATGGCTTTAGTTTGAATCTTTTGTTGGAAGTCTGCCCAGCACAAAAAATTTCTAGAATCAAACCAAATCTGCAACATGTTTCTCCAGACAAAAGGCTTGAGACCAGTTCTTACTTTGTCTTCTAGGTTTGCTTTTGTTTTTTCACTCTAGTTTGCTTAGCTTTTAGGATTTGAGTCCCGATCTCATGTTTTTATTGTAATCATTGTATTATCTTTGCCTTCTTAGAATTTTTTTTTTTTTTTTATGAACTCAGTCTGCAAAATCTATCTATTTTAAATTCCAAATCTATTATTGTAGTTTATTTGAGTGTTACAATTGTTTTCAAGTTATGTTAATAAAATCATGATTCTTTATAGTTCAAGACTGCAATTTAATTCCATATTTTCTTTATGTTTCTACAGTTTGATATGCAAGTGGAATAATCTAATCTGTAATGTAACTTTTCTTGTACGCCTGTGAATTTATTTTAGTTTGCAAGTATAGTTCGTAAGTCTAAATAATTAAGTTTGTTCTGCAAGTGTAGTCCTTCTATCTATTCTGCAAGCAAATTAATTTAATTTGCAATGTAGTTTTTCCAATGGATCTACAAATTACTTTCTATCTGCGAGCTTAGGTATCGTTAGTCCACATAATTCTTAGTTCATGTGTAGGTTTGTTATCCCCTTAGTCCAGTTTGCATTTTAAGCATGTTCCATAACACTTTTTAGCTTCCGTTTGTCTTTTCATTATAATGGCATTAGTTTCCTTTTAATTGTCTGCATTTTTGTTCTTGTGTGTGTTTTCCTTATCAATAAACACACTTGATTAACCCTTTATGTGGGAAATCTCTAATGATTTTCTAGAGTATTATTTTTAATATATTTTTGTAGGAAAGCATCTCTCATTTCAGTCAATTGTCTGGTTTGAGGTGCATCTCTTTTTTAAATTGAAGTTCTTTCACTCATTTAACTTAGAGATTGACTATTGGAAGAAGAGGGTTGTCAAGAAAGCCTTTTTTTCTTTTCTTTTTTTTTTTTTTGCTACAAATCAAGTAGCGCATTTAAACACATCTGCTACATGGCAACCAAAGAGAAGATTTTTGGGAAAATACGTTTTAAGGATGATTGATAGTCGTCTTCCTTCCAAAGGAATTTAACTCTCCATATCTCAAATCTCTCCTCATCCATGCTTAAACTCTCAATTGCTAGAACATCTCCTAGGGGCATTATATCCAAAAGAGAATTTTAGTGAAAACACTATGGTAAATTGTCAAATTACAAAGTTCGAGAACATATGAGGGATCACCTAGAACAACACATGCAATTAGGGACGGAGTCGGGATTTGATAATAGGGGGGGCAAAGTGCCAAAAAAAAAAAAAATGATGGAAAGGAAGCTCGATAAATGCTCTAAAATGACAACGACAAGAAAGGGTTATGTGGCATTAGGAAAACTTGACCTTAAGTTTCCAAATTTCTTGGAAAGGAAAATAAAAAAAAAATCTTAGATGCAAATCCATATAAATAGCAAAGAAGAAGGCATAAAGTGATCATTAATAGTAGTATCAATCTCACATGAAAAAATAGAGAAATATGTTGGAAATTTTGGTGATTATAGCGGATACTTTCATATTAGAACGAGGCACTAAAATAAATAAAATATACTAAAACCCAATTAAAAAACGAGAAAATGTCATATTTTATAAATAATTAAAATTTAGAAGCAAATTACCTCTAATATCCAAACAAAGAAAATGGTTTGACATCTATCTATTGCTGTTCAAAGAAACAAAGTACAAGGGAAAGGCAATATGTCAGAAATTTTAAATTTTTTTTCATCCAATTAAGAAATTAAAAAACATTTTTTTTGTTTAATTAGTCATCCTTGGGGAACTTACTAATTGTTATCTCCATATTAGTTTGAATATAATTATTAAAACTGTCAAAGATATTGTTTATCATCATAAATGTTATAACATTCATAATAGTAATTCCCTTTGTTGAAGGGTTCATGATAGGACGTGCACACTCAGATCCAACACTCGGGTGTGCACCCTTCACATAAAAAAAAAAAAAAAAAAATGAACAGGGTGTT